CCAGCAATGTCACCAGTGTGACTTGAACCAAGTCAACAAACAGTGTTTTCTATAGTCCTTTAAATACTGGTCAGGCTGTTAGAAGCATGAAGCAAAATGCAGAATTGTAAATCAATATTTGGCAAGCAGGTGATACCTGAAAGTGACACTGACCCATAAAAGTGCCAACTGACTGCAGTCACAGAGAACACTGATGCATTTGCATCAAACCAGAGGAAGCGAAGGTCTCTCCATCTACCTTGGATGTCCCTTCACTGTGGGAAAGGCTGCCTTCACAGTCAGGGAGAGGGAGGTCATTTCTCATTTTAATTAAAAAAAATATATAAATAAAAAGATAAGCTCCAAAGATTTTGAAGAATTCCTTAAAACACTCATAGAGAACAAATAACAAACATGTTTACATTAGCTTTCAAGATGTATAATGTTGTATTAGTACAAGGTATTGCCATTGTTTCTTCAGGGTTGTTTTTTTTTTTTTTTTTGTGGCATGAAGTTAGACTGCTTTTGCTGATGAAGCTCTTCAGGTTCTCCGAAAATAAATACCAGTATCATTGGTGTAATGATAACATATGCAGATGAGCATGTACACATCCAGATACTTATTTAATTTAGGTCAATTTGCTCATTGTCCCTGTAGGCTGTATTATTTGTGTGATTATAGAGCTCTTAATGCAAACTCATAACAAACATGAAAATAATATGAGGCTGTTTTCAGGCAGATTGGCTGAGGATTTCTGTCTACAAACAAAGGACATGACATTGTACATAAATCTGATCTAAATCTACACAAAATGAAATTAAAGTTAAGACTCCAAATTCAATCTGTTACTGTGCACCCCAGTTTAATGGAGTGTTCTTCAGGAAGCTGCTCGAAATACTCCTAAATTATTTTTCCCCTTCCCCAGAATAAGCATCTTGATTGCTTATATTTGGACCATACTGCAGTAGGCTGTCAACATGAGTTATCTTTTTTGCCACAAGCTTGCTTCAGTCAGTGCAGAAATCTGACATTACCCAACAAACCCAGTGTTTCTGGTCACCTGAACAAAGCAACCTTCTTAAATGACATTAGCCTTCGGCCGACATACAACCACCAGCAAAATGCCAGGGCATCTGTCAGTGACATACCAATGTTGTCTGCTGCCACAGACTCTCAAAGGCAAGAGAGTTTCTATGAATTTCTACAACGTAGCCATGCTGGAAGCAACACAGCAAGAAAAGCTATTCTGGACACTAACCCCATTAAAGTCCTTTTTTGGTTCTTTCCACTAATTGAGGTAAATGTTTCTTTATGCAGTTATTTCCATGCTTGTGTAAAAAAGGGCTTACATAAGCATCAAGACACGGAGAAGGACTGGCGTTTCTATAATCTGTTCCTCATCTCTCCAAAATGTTTGTTGTCATGTGATTTTTTGTAGCATATGAAGCTGAAGGAAAGCATATAAGGATGGATAGGAGCATGCTCCGGTCATTAGGAGGATGCTCTAAGCTGGACAACTATGCGAACATGGAAAAAAATTAAAAAATCTCCTTTGTTTGTGAAGAGCTGTTGTGAGCAATTAACAAGCATTTCTTCATTTTATTTATATTAAACTTCATGCACAGGGGACAATGGGGAAGTCAAAGTCTTAAGAATCTCTTAGGATTTCTCATTAAACAGAAAATTCTGTCATGACCACAACCAGAGAATGAGAAAAAAAAACAAAAACAAACCCATCATGTTAAGTGAAGTGTGTGAGTTTTATTTAGATTTTGGATTTGAGGAAAATAGGGATAACAGTACTCCAGATGACTTGTGCTATTTGGGGAAAAGGTTTGTGTTAAGTGTTTGGAAGAGCTGTGATGATGAATTGTCTCTGGTGAGGAATGCTACCACAAGACCAATGGATTTTGGTCTGTTGGTAGTATGCAGAGTGAGGTGACTTGTCTCTGCTCCCCAAATTCCTGATGGATCTTCCCTGACCTATTCTAAGGACCCATGTGGTGTCACTGCAAAGAAGCCCACAGTCTCACCTCCATGTTGGTGTGCAAGGGAACGTAGGCATTTAGGAATAATAATCCAATAAAAGATTTACATATTCTTTCCTCCATCTCACTCCCCCACCCAATTTTTCATTTCATATCACTATCCCCTGTTGCCAAAAGGAGTTTATCTATGGTATTTGATAAGGGAGCACTAAACACATTATAGTGCTATTTTAAATGACATCACAACTAACTAGATATTTTAATTGAAGGTAAATAACCAATATTATTGCCTTCTGAATGATAGCAATAGTGGAGAGTAATGGCACCACTGAGGAATCAACTGCTATTTCCCTCATAAACCATAAACCATTCAGAGATTTATAATGCTTTTTTAATGATCAGCCCTTCTTGGTGTTGAGCAGTTCCTCTGAGATCCCGAGTCTTCCGGCTGCCTGCTGGAGTCAACAGGAGTGGACAGCAAGGAGTCTCACATATCTCTGTGCCCACCAGGATGAAACTTGCCCCATCAGTTATTGGCCTAAAGCAAAGGAAAGCTTGGCATTTTACTGCACTGCTCTGATATAGTGTGCCCCAAGCCCCAAAACAGGGACATTTGACTCAGCCACTGTTTCATAACCTGCTCAAGGATAAAAATGCATCGTACATTTGTGTGCATTTCATGCCCTCTTAAGGTAGGTATAGCAAGTAACCTTGTGTAAGAAACCACTTTGCTTGCTTCCCTCTAAATGTGTTCTCTTCAAATTCTATCTGTCCTGAGACTATGTGAACTAATAAGGTACTATCCAATGCACCATTTAGTTCAGTGGCATCGTATCATGCACAAACATCTATGGATCCAGAGTGCTGTCAGAGAAAATGTCCAGTGTTCTGCACTTGGAAAGACTGTCCCCCTTCCTTGGTGCCATCACCCAGAGACACTGTCAATGCCTCAGCTTATTTTTCCAGCTGGAGTCAACAGCATATTCATGTACTCAGACCTGTGCTGACAAATTCAGCCTACATTACTCATTCTTGTTAAATTCAATGGGATTATCCTCATGACAAAGGGGATACAAGGCTAGTCATTACATTTTCATTTTACTTTGGTTTTAAATCAAAAGCAACTTTTTTGAACTCCAGAGAGCCCCTGTGATGTGATCTGAACTCATCAATTCTCTTTTAATGGACTAAACTGGCCCATTGAAGCATTACTGAGGATCTAGTCAGATTAATATTACAAGAGCTGGCTACAATGGAAATGAATCTTGACTCTGGATGTAGGAAGAGAGCACAGAAAAACCCAGCCAAGACAGATGAGCTCCACCAGCCAGGCAGGAAAAGACCACATGCTTAAAGATGCACAGAATTTACTTTAAACCTCCAAACTTGGTCTAGTGAAAAACAGGAGCATTAATCCCTCCTAGTCATGTCATGAAAAATATTGCTGTCAATAGAAGTACGAACAGAGGCTTTGTCCTTCTCTCTCATGTACATCTTCAGGGATGAAGAGCTTGTCTAACACCTACCTCCATTGCCAACATTCTGTGATTTCCAACCCATTTCTACAGCAATTTACTTAGCATCTGGTGCACATCCAATCTAAATTTTGAAAAAGCAGCCGACCCAACCTGCTCCGACTTTAGTCAATGACAAAACTCCCATTGACTTCAAGGAGAGCAAAAGGAGACTGGTTGTTAACAGGGAATTGGTGCCTGTTGTTCAGCCGAGCATGTCAGACTAGCATGTATCCACTTCATGAGTATAAAAAGGAGTTACTAGAGGAAATCCCCTGAATATTTATACAATATTTGGAGGGGTAGGGCTGTTTTTCCCTCTCCCACATGTCTCTACTGTGATATGTTAGCTATGTGAACACAGAGGCTTCTTGCAACTTTGACAATGCTTACAGACCGTCAGATTTCCTTTCATATCCTCTTTAGTGGAAATAGCCCAGTGGAAAAAGAGGTCAGCAGCACATCATGGTTCTTCACGGGTTTCCAGAAATACTGAGTCATCTTCAAGAGTTAATGTGGTCTCAGTGGATTTGCTATATAGTGCTGGTACAGTGTCTGTGTGAGAGGGGGAAGGGGGGAGAGAGAGAGAGACAGAGAGATTTGTGTGTGTACAGAAATAATTTGTCCAGATTAGCTCTGGGAGAGTTAAAGGGGAACCAGTTACATACTGGGGTTTCCCAGAGATTTCCAGTGAGAGCAGACAAGCTCCCAGGAGGGATTCAGTGCGATTCAGTACAATTCAGTACGAACAGAACAACCCAGTATTGCAGCGTATCTAATTTCATGCAGATTTTAATTAAATGGGACCAGCAAGACTTCAGCCTTCCTGCTCACCATAATTTAGAAGTCTTTTTTTTTTTGCTCTGAGACTGTACATCAATTCTGTCCATATTACCAGGACTCTGGGAAGCAGGCAAAGTGTAAGCATAATGTATATGTTAAGGCCCATATATATTTCTACCTCTTGAGACTCAGAGACTGCAGGGGAGAAGAGTTTCACAGAATAAGAGCAATGACTGCGGCAGAATTGGGATCATCCTGCCCATAGCTAATGGAAATACATCTTTTCTACACATCAACATAATGTAACACATAAATGTAGACCTCAGTCTAGATTTACACCTCAAAGATTGACACCATGCACTTGGATTTCGTGTTGGGGGGAGCCCAACTGCTGTGGATGGCACTGGTAATGTGGGACAAAATAAGGAAAACAACTAAGAGTATTTGTAAGCAGAGCCTCAAAACATATGTTTTTAAACGGTGAGAGAGAATGAAAGTATGCTTCGTTATACACTTCAGATGATCCAGTCTCAGTGCTCATTCAAGTTCTGGGTTTGACAGCTTCCCACTGTATCCTTTATATATCACCCGTGGTGACTAAGCATTGTGGGGACATGCAATCATTAATCACCATTATGGATTTCTGCCCTTCTGCTGGGTTTCACTTACGAACTTAGGGGCAGATCCTGCAGCCTTTACTCCTCCCTGCAGTCCTTTGCCCAAGCAATCAGCCCTGCTTCACTCACAGAGAGCTCAAAGAGCTGCATCATCTGTAGGATCGGGTGCTGAGTTTCTTACACCAGTGTCCCATTCAGATATGCAGTGGATCTTAATCCTTAGCGGGAATTAACAGAAAGTTTGAACACTGCATTATTAAATTAAAAGGTTACAGTCTACTGCAAAATTACTTAAGCAGGACTCAGGAGTGTCTGTTAATTTTAATGCTCTGCCTGAAAGTACAGAACTTTGGACATTTCCAGCATCATATTTAAAACATGGTACAACAACTAATACGTGATCTGGTGCATTAATGGACCAAATTAAGTTACAGGTATGAATTTTACATAAAACGGATTAATATTATATGTCATGGAGGAATTTTAAATACTCCATCTCCATGCATTTTTAATAGTTATGTGCTCTAATTTAATGTTCCCAGGCATTGCTTTGCTTGAAGTCCCTAAACCCTCCTCCTTCCTTCTTCCCCTCTCCTCTCCCCCTTCAAGTTTTGCTTGGGTTTTTCCCTGCGCTTAAATCAGCATCCCGAAGTCCCTCAAAATATGTGGAAAGCCTGGCTGGGTCTTCAGACACCGAAGATAAAACCGCGTTTCACGACCCGAGGAGATATCACCCCTCCCGCGGGGGGACGCAGCCGCCATCCTCCGGGCTGGCGGCTGGGAGCATCGCCGGTTGCGGAGCTACGCGCCGGACCGCTGGGGCGGCGCCAAGAACCGCCGGGCGGTGGATCCCGACCGCATTCCCTCAGTCCTTCCTCCAGGGGACCGCCCCCCTCTTCCTCCTCCGCCACCGCCTCCTCCCCGCGGGGGTCAGCGCCAGCCGCCCGCCCCCTCCAGCAGCGCCACGGCCCCCCCGGCCGCTCCGCCATTGGCAGGCGCCGCGATCCAGGAGGAGATGCGGCGCTCTGATTGGCTGCGGCGCGGCACCACGGCGCCCCCCCGTTCCCCGCGCCGCGCTCGCCTTGCCCCGCCGCGGCGCCGCCCGCCGCGCCCCGCCCGCACCCCGCGATATATATGGGGCGGCGCGGGCAGCGGCGGTGGCAGAGGCGGCTGTGGCGTTGTGGTCGGAGGCTGCGGGAGGAGCGCTTTTCTCGCCAGCGCGGCTGTTGACGAGCGGCCCTGCGAGCACTTCTCGTAGCATCCTCGGGAAGGGCCGCCGGCAGCGCCAGCAAGGCTGCGTCCGTGACCCGCTCCCGTCGCGTTGCGGGCGGTGCGTGCGCGGCTGTCCGAGGTCGCAGGAGGCGGCAGCGGTGGTGGAGAGGGAGGTCTTCCTCCCTCCCTGCGGCATCATGAAAGCTGTGAGTCCCGTCCGACACCCCAGCCGCAAGGCTCAGCCCGGCGTGACGGGCGGCGGCGGGGGCCACCCGGCCCTGCGGTGCCTGGCCGAGCACAGCGGCTGCAAGGGGAGCCCGTCGTCGGGCGAGGAGCCTGCGGCGCTGTGCCTGCAGTGCGATATGAATGACTGTTACAGCCGGTTGAGGAAGCTGGTGCCCACCATCCCGCCCAACAAGAGGGTCAGCAAAGTGGAGATCCTGCAGCACGTCATCGACTACATCCTCGACCTGCAGCTGGCTCTGGAGACGCACCCGGCGCTGCTTCGGCAGCAGCAGCAGCCACCCGCCCTGCACCCGGGTAGCTGTCCCGTGGGCACCCCAAGGACCCCGCTGACAGCCCTCAACACTGACCCGGTAAGAGGTGCGTGCCACGCCAGCCCGCGGTTCGGGATGCTGAGCGGGAGGAGGGCAGCGCAATGGCCCGACGGGCAGCGTCGGCCGCCGTGGGAGCTCCCGGTAATGCCTCGCCGCTGCCGGCCTAGTGGTTATGCCGAGCGGCCGCAGCCCCCAAATATACGGGGTGGGTGGGCGCAGGATCGCCTCGGCGGTGCGCGGCGGGTGCCTGCATCCCCTCGGTGCAGGCAGGCGCCCGCACGGTGTTTACCGTGTAATTACAGCCTCTCGAGGGAGCCGCTGTAATCAGAGTGTTTGCACACACGGGAGCAGACGCGCTGCTCCTCTGCTTCCCAGCCCTCCGCTGAGCGGAGCGAGTGTGAGCGCGTTTGGGGGCCATGCACATTCAACGACCTCGGTGCAGCGTGCTTTTAGGTGGGGGGAGGACACCGGGGAGCCTCTCCAGTCCGCGGGACCCCTGTGGCAGCCCAGCGGCGTGGGGATCGGCGTGCCTCGGCACCCCATGTGCCGGTGCTTCCCCCACGGCCCTTTCGCTCTGCGCTCCCGAGCTGGTGCCCGGCTGGGCACCTCCTGCAGCCGGGAGCTCCCAGCGGCGCTTCCCGGCGGGAATGTGGCAGTGCCCTGGGCGGGGAAGGGGGATCTGGAGAGTGGGGGGGGGGGGGCAATCTCCGTGCCTTTCTCCCCCCACCCGTTCTAACATGCCGTGTCTCCTTGCTGCGCAGGCTGGCTCTGTTAACAAGCCGGGGGACAGCATCCTCTGCCGCTGACCGCCGCTCCCCAGGTGAGTGCCGGGTGGGCGCGGGACCGCGGCTGCGGGCGGGGGTGCCAGGCAGCGCGCACCGCTTCCCCATGGGAAGCCTGCCGAAGGTGTTGGGGGGTGGGGAAGAACATGAACCCGCAAGAAATATTTGCAGGACGCTTTGGGCTTTTAATTAACGGAGTGGTTATTTTATTTTCTTTAATTACCGGGTTTTGTTTCGTTGCCTTTTTGTGTTTTTTTTTTCCTTTCCAAACACCCCCCCCACCCCCCCCCGCTCTGTTCTTCCCCAAAGAGCTTCTGGCGCGGCGCGCAGCTGCGCATCCCTCCGCCTTGGCCCAGCCTGGGAGCTGCGGTTGTTGTTTGACCTGGTTTGTTTTGGGTTGTTGATCAAGCATGTCTTGTGTGTTGTTGGTGGCGCCAGTCGGTCTGGAGCGGAGCGGTTCACACACCCCCTCTATTCATTCCTCTCCCACAGGTGTGCGGCGGCGCCGCCGCGCAGAGGCACCGCGGGGGGCGGGAGGGGGGGGGGGGGGAGCCCCAATCCCGGCCCGGCCCCGCCGCACCGGAGGAAGAAGCCATCCAACCTCCCGAGCAATTCCCATGCTTCGCCCCGGCAGAGCCTTTTCACCCCTTTGCACGTCCGTAGCAACACCCCCCACACACACACACACACGCCTCGGTTCCCATCACCCGCCCAGACACACAGCCCGTCTCTTCTCTTCGTTTCCCAACCAGATGTGAGCCGTGCGACCGCGGTTGTCGGCCTCGAGCTGGAAAAGTTGCGACTCTGCCCCGGGATAAGAGGACCCGAACCTAAACCAGACTTTAGAAGCGTTGTAACTCGTAAGGGACCGAGCAGCTGAATCTTGAAGCTTTACTAATCTACCAGAGCATTTGTAGATGATATTTGACATCTATTGTTTAAAATAGATGGATTTTATTTGGGGCCCAGGGAACTTTCTTCTCCCTGCAGGAATGTTACATATTGTATAGATAAATGAGTGACATTTCATACTGTGTATATATAGAGATGTTCTATAAGTGTGAGAAAAGTATATGCTTTAATAGACTACTGTAATTATAAAATATTTTTAATTAAATATTTTTTTGTAAATATTATAAAGGTGTGTATGTTTTTTTTAAATCTGTGGGAATATCTCTTTAGAAAACCACAGCTCAAGTATGGAGCTGCTAATATGGAAATATCTTGAATGTTTAGGGCCTCTTTTTTTGTTTGTCCCCAGATGTCCTTTAGACTCAGAAGTTAACAGCTATAGCTAGTGGTCCTGCATGATTGCATGAGATGTCTAATTGCAAATAAACTTGTTTGGAGTCCATACAAACGTGTTTTCCTCAATCTAGACTTGAAATGTTTGTAAGTGTATTATACCTTTTGAGACTACACTTTTGTCATTTAGGCACAGGGTTTTTTTGTGCATTCTATAGGAGTAGCAGTAAGATGTAGTGTTTTTACTGAGAATAGAAAAAATTCTATCTAGTTTTTGCATTATGGGGGCGATGCTTTAGATCTTTAATCAGCTTTTCTTTAAAAAATCTGCTGTTGCATCCGATCAAGAAATTTGTTCTGGAACTTCATTCAGCACCAAGAGGTTTTATCGCAACCTTGCGTTCCTACAGCCTATTAACTGCTTAAAAAGTGAAAACAGTTCTCTGCTTGCAACCAAAGGGCAAACCATTAACAAAACCAGTTGCCGTTTCCTTCGTCCAAAGAGTATTAATACCGAACTGCAGAAAAGCACATGGGCAAAGTTGTTACGATCAGTGATGTAAATTCACCTTAAAATGAACTTAAGTAGACCAAAAATCTGATAACTGCGTCAAGATTATTTTTCTAGTACAAAATGACTTACATTTCACTGCAGCTATGTTACAGTTAAAATCCTGTTTAATCTCTGTGATGTGTAACTACATGTGAACATTAAACTAGATTTACCTGTCTTTAACTGTGATTCTTCAGCTTATTTCTTCAATCCTCTGAATTTGCACTCTCTCCACTTATATTTTGTACATAACCATTTGATGGGCAAGTTAATTTTACAATGGGCTTTTGTACAGTCAAGTCTTGCAGACTGCAAACTCATGTCCAGCCAGGCTTGGTGAAAGATGTTCATCTGTGTGATCAGTAGCCTGCACACCAGTGAAATGAGATTTTCAGAGTGGGAGAATTAAGCAGGATTTAATTGGGTGCTTTGTAAATAGCTAGCCAACTGTGTGTGTAACATGGTCTGTTTGACTAAAAAAGAGGATTTGTTTCAGATTATACAAGTGTCAAAAGTACTGTAGCCCAAGGGGCAACTTCTATTAAGTTAAATATTTATAAGGAAATTAACTACTGGGGTCATTAGCTATTGACTACAGGGATAGTGTCAACAAGATGAACATTCTCTTAATCAAAATAATTGTGTAACGATCAAATCAAAAAGTAGGTAAACACATTCGCAAACATAAACCTCCTGTCATTGCAAATTCATTGAAGACGGGGGCATTTCACTGGCTGATCTCTGACTTGAGGGGTGGGGAGTGGGACTCTGCGATGATTTCCCCAGCTTGGATGTTATAATAATAGTAGTTTAATGAACAAAATGCATGTTCTTGAGTCCATGGACTTCTCGTCCTGTGTCTCCAGCTAATTCAGTGACGGCAAGAATGCTATGAATAGGATTTTTTACTGCAGTTTGGGAATTCTTACATTGTGTTTAAAAAAAGAAAATCATCCTTTTCCTAAGGAATGGTTTAAATTTGCATTTGCTTTCTTTGTTTATCTTATTAATATTTATACTTTCCTCCTTGCTTTAGCTTGTATAGCTCAGCTTATTTTGTATACACTTTTTCAGTGACATTAGTTCTCCATGTCCTCATTTGTTTCCATACACCGTTGTTGCCAAATTACAGAGTTCTGTTACACAGAAGAGGAAGCAAGCAAAAGGTGGTGTCTTAAAATATGAAACTACCTTGTAGAGTTCCTGCATATCAAAGCTTATGTATCCTAGGAGAGTTGATAAATCACTGAGCTACTCTTCGAAGAGAGTGGACTAAACCTGATTGTTTCAGGTCAGGGCAATCTCCTGTTGAGTTTAGTGGCTTGGCGATTTGGCTTTGCTTTTTTAAAAACTGTTCCGGTGCAAAAAGTTAGGACCTTTATAAGATGAAATTTTACTAAAAAGAGCCTCGAAATTTTTTCTTGTTATATAATATTCTTGACAAATGTCAAAGCCTATATGTAACACTGAGAAAAGCTCTTATCGCAGCATAGTAGATGCTGATCTTGATTTATTCCTTACACTGTGTATGAAACTGTAAGCAAGGGGTATCCTAATGGCTGGAATCAGTACAGTACTAAATGCAGCTGTACTTATTTTTGTTTTTCAAAGATTTGAGAATTTTTCATCATATTTTAATGCCATATCTTCTTTAAATCATGTTCTCCATATAGTAAAAGCCGTATGTGTTTGAACAAAGGCAAAT